TTGCCAACAGCCATATTCATAGTACCCAAACATTTCAATTGTTACATGTTGATGTTTGGGGTCCCTATAAGTATTCTTCCAATCATGGTTTCCATTATTTTTTTACTATTGTAGATGACTACAGTAGATGTACCTGGACTTTCTTGATGAAGTTTAAAAATCAAGTTAGTCGTATCTTAGAAAACTTCTTTCTCATGGTTAAAACTCAGTTTGATAGTCATGTTCAGATGATAAGAACTGAAAATGGTACTGAATTCCTAAGTGAGGATTGTCAAACCATTTTTTCTAAATTAGGGATAGTACATCAAAAAAACTATCCCTATACGCCCCAACAAAATGGGGTAGTTGAAAGGAAACACCAACATCTACTCGGAGTTGCTCGTTCCTTACTCATACAGTCGCATTTACCCAAAAGTTTCTCGGGTGATGCTATTCTTACAGCCACTCATTTGATTAATAGGTTACCTTCTCATATTCTCAAATGGAAATCTCCATTTGAGGTCCTTCATCGTAAAGTACCAGATTTGACTATGTTGAAAACTTTTGGATGTCTCGCTTTCGCAGTAGATAATACTCCTCACCGAGATAAGTTTGATCCTAGGAGTTTTAAGGAGATTTTTGTTGGGTATCCATAGGGCCAAAAGGGGTATAAAATATACAGCCCCTCCTTACATAAAACCATTATATCTTGTGATGTTATTTTTCACAAAAATATTTTTCCCCTTCATGCTCATTCTGAGCCTGTTGTTGTATTACCTAAACCTGTTGATGATCCTCTCTCTGATGTTGTCCATATTTCTCCATTTGTTAATGTACATACTCCTGTTTTTTGTCCATCGCCTCTTTCACCAGTTTCTTCCCTGCCTTTGTCACCAACTTCCCCTCCTGTTGTTATTTCTGCATCTGTTCCTTCACCTATAGATTCACCAGTGACTGCACCTGTAAATGTACCTGCTCCGCGCAGGAGTACTTGTACCACCAAACCACCTAGTTATCTTGATGATTTTGTGCTAGTAAATTCTTGTACCACTCCTCATTCTTCTAGTTACATTTCTAATAATTGCTGTATTTTTTTCTAAAACTCATGAGTCATTTGTAGCTAATTTGTCAACTTTTCAAGAACCTTATATTTACAATCAGGCTAGGACTAATGCAAAATGGATTGATGCTATGAATCTAGAGTTGGATGCTTTAGAATGTAATGAGACTTGGGAAATTGCCTCTTTGCCTGAAGGAAAAGAACCCATTGGGTCTAAATGGGTTTATAAAATTAAACGCAAACCTGAGGGTAGTTTTGACAGATTTAAGGCACGACTTGTTGCTAAAGGGTACACACAAGCTGAAGGGGAAGACTACTCTGAAAGTTTTTCTCCTGTAGCTAAAGCTGTGACGGTTAGGATTCTATTTGTTGTTGCTGCAAGTTATAATTGGAATTTGCATCAGTTGGATGTTAATAACGCGTTCTTACATGGTTATATTGAGGAAGAAGTTATATGTTGCCTCCACTGGGTTATACTAAAACTTTACTAGATCTGGTTTGCAAGTTAAAAAAGTCTCTTTATGGCCTTAAACAGGCTTCTAGACAATGGAATGCCGAATTTACTTCGAAACTCTTAGCTTTTGGTTTTATTCAGTCTATTGATGATCACTGCTTGTTCATCTATTCAACTGCTACTTGTCGATTGTTCCGGTTGGTTTATGTGGATGACGTGCTTCTCATTGGTTCTAATGAAGCACAAGTAGCTAGGGTTAAGAGTTTCTTGGATGATGTTTTTTCCATTAAAGATCTTGGATTTGCTAAGTATTTCCTAGGAATGGAAATCGCATGATCTTCTGCGGTGTTTATATTTGCCAACACAAGTATGTCATTGATATTCTTAGGGATACTGAAATGTTAGACTGTCATCCTGCCTCTACGCCTTTCCCCAGAGACTTCAAATTTCTTGCCAAAGACACCAGTCCAGTTTTTCCTGATCCTGCTAAGTACAAGTACAGAAGGCTTGTCGATAGACTTCTTTATTTGAATTTCACATTGGCAGGCAGCTACTCATTGTCCTTCGATATCTAGATGGTTGTCCTTCTAAAGGACTGTTTTACCCCAGTACTACTTCCTTGCAACCCAAGGCATATATGGGGCAGCTGACCTTTCACTCGCAGGTCTTTGACAGGTTATTGTGTGTTCTTGTGCAAGTGTTTAGTGTCCTGGAAAACCAAGAAACAAGGGACTATTTCTTGTTCTTTGGCTGAGGTCGAATATCAAGCCATGGCCATCACCGTACGAGAACTTCAATGGATCTCTTATGTGCTCAAGGATTTGCAGGTTTCTATTCGTCTACCTCTTGAGTTCTGGTGTGATAATCGTGCTGCTCTTCACATTTCTGCCAACCCGGTTTTCCACGAAAGAACGAAGCATATTGACATTGATTGTCACATCGTCCGAGATCTATACAAGCAAGATTTTATTTCTCTTAATGATATTAACTCTTCTCATCAACTTGCAAATTTGCTCTTCAAGAGTATTCCAGGTCCTCATTTTGATGTTTTATTGGCAATATGGGCTTGTCCCAAGCTCATCTTGAGGAGGGCGTATTGAATGAAGTTTCTGTACAAGAAGCAAATCAAGTCAGCCACATTCTTAACTTTTGGATACTTTAATTTTGTACAATTGTTCATAATAGAATAGTTTAGGGACTCAGTTTGTAAATAATAGATAGTTAGAATGATTGACTTGGTCCGAAGTCAATTTGTATATATATAGTCTTGTACATATACGTTTTTAACAAGTTTTTTTTTTTTTTTTTTAATAAAAGATAGAACTTCATTACAGTTGCTGGAAATCAGCCAGCTCTGATTGATACAAACTGTCCAGTAACGACTGACAGGAGAAAACACTCACTAAACTAGTCACTAAACCAGTAACTAACTATTACAACTGAAAGTACAAAATAAACTTTTCACCACCCAGTTGATACTGCAGGAAGGAAAGACCTTTCAATGATATAAATCTATTGTTGGACATAGAACGGAACAGATTAAAAATCTGAACTCGAGTATGTCACTAACCATCAGATTAAAACTCGAGTTGGTAAATCTAGATAACAGATTCACTGTGACTGTAATTTCTCCGGTCAAACTAGTCGTCATTAAAGACAAACAACAGACAACGAAGTTGAACAACGGACCCAGCTCCACTGGCGCACTAAATTCACTCAGTAAAGAATCAAACCAGGATCGATACTGAGGGTGGGAAATCCCACTTATTTGAAATAAAAAACAGTAAAAACAAAGTCTAAACCAGCAAACCAGAGTCCGGTTCGGTGCAGTGAGGAACTGAACTAGCGATCCAGACTGACGAACCAGCGGTACTGGACACCACAGCATATGTTGGCGGCGCTCGATGACGGAGGGATAGCGAAGGGCAGTAACATGGATCGAACTGGATCTACGGCGGAGGACGGTGGAGACGGTAGCGGTGGGCGATCTGTGTTTCGGACGGAGGGCGTTAGAGGCAGCAGTGGTAGACGATCTGTGCTTCGGGCTGAGGGCAGCGGAGGACAGCAATGGTGGAAAACAAATTGGTTTTGAGCAGAGCGGCGGAGAGCAGTAGTGGAGGAACGAATTGGGCTTCGAGCGGAGGGCGTCAGAGACGGCGGATGTGGGCGAACCGTGTTTTGATCTGGATATCGATTTGCTTTTGGTGGCTAATTATCAACAAAAAACGAACGGTAGGAAGGAAACAAAGATTGTGCTCCCCCAACCACCGATTAATGGAAGTTGGGGGAGAAAATCTGACGACGAGGAGGGTTCTGCAAGAGAGAGGGAGACGCAGACGAGAGCAGTTTTTTTAAAGAGTAGTTAATAGTAGTTGCCGTTCATTAATAAGAGTATCTGTGGAACTCACGTTTTTAACAAGTTAGTTACTTTTACATAATAAAATCGATCTCCAAATTGAAAACCCTAAACTAAGTTCGTTTTCTTCGCAAGAAGAATTTTGAACCAATTCAGCAACTCATTTTGCTATGACTTATCCGGATTTCAGAAAGAAAAACAATGCAACAAGATACGGTCAAAAATGAAACTGAAACCGAAACTCTTTTTCTTATTTATTAAAAGCAAAATTCTGAAAGGACACGTATGAAGTATCTTTTATAAAGCTACATGAATTGCTCATAACTAATATGGGGGAAATGAACTGACTGAACTGTCGTAGAGATGAAATTTTGGCAGTGGAGTGCAGAGAAATGCCAGAGTTAGCGTTGAACTGATAACAGCTGAGGATAAGGTAAAACATAATTCTTATCCAAATTTAAAAAACATCATTAGTTATACCTTCCCGAGGATGGGTGATGTATCCGTCAATGGTGTAATGAACAAGCTGGATCATTCTGGGTCCGGGCTTGGGCGGGGCAGTAAAACGCTGACATCCATCCGTCCCAGCCCTTGCCCCTCAAGCCTAAACTTCAGAGTCTTTGAGAGCCCAGCTTTATTCTTGGCAATTTGAATTCATCTCCAGACTCCAGTCACCAATTTCAATCTGAAATAAATAATCACCGCCACACAGTCGAAGTTCAATGCTGAGATCATTTTTGAATTTGCAACTACTTTGTGTAGCATTGGGGCATGCTTCAAAGGTTGTTGCAGCATTGTAAAATTGCTTTTGGATTTTGTCTGCATCACTTTTGGTATAATATTAATTCATAAAAAAATTTCAAATTAAGAGAGAACAAAACTTAAGTCTGCTTTTAGACAAGACCTTTATCTCCATTACATTTAAAGCTAATTGCAACATATGAACGTGGTCAACCATTACTGTTATATACAGAAAATATTTACATAGTATTTCCAAACTTACACTACTTAATAGCTGCTTTTCAACTCTGATGTTTGTCATGATTCATAAAGGAAATGGTAAAACATTTTTATTAGTACAGCACACCTGCAATACTGCACCTCTCTGGACCTAAAGACACATAAAAACTCCACATGACAGAGGAACGCCTTCATGTACACTTCCATGTTGACAGAGGCGGAGTGTCGGAAGTTTTCCAGGTAGGAGCTCCAGGCCCATGTCTATCACCCATGACTGCATCAGCTGAAGCAATGGATTCCAGCTCAGCCATGCCTTCTGCTGAAAGTACGACCGATAAAGCTCCAATATTCTGCTTTAGATTCTCAATCTTGGTAGTACCAGGTATAGGACAAACATCGTTTCCCTGATGATGGATCCATGCCAGCGCTAGTTGAGATGGCGTACATCCCTTCTTTGTAGCCATGGAATTCACCCTCTCAAACAACTTCTGGTTGTGCTCCACATTTTCTGACTGAAGCCTTGGCATTGACTGGAAAAGATAAGGAATTAATTTCTGGGACAATAGTTATTGGCAGAAGTTTAATCTGAGTAAGCCACCTTTAAGAATGAGTATGAAGGAAGATTTGAATTGGATTAAATAGCTTAATCAGAAGTTTATAAACAAACAGCGGATTCTAGTACATTGGCAGCTTTGCGCAGAAAGTCATCCAGAAACCACACACCAAATTCCATGGAAATTCCAAAGGAGAATTCACATTTGCCAGTTTTAAGAGGGAATAGCAGCAGAAGTTTCACACCAGTCATTTTTGCGTAACAACTAAAGAATCCTCTCACCATTTTACAGAATAACTTATACACAATAGGCAAGACCAAGTAACTAATTTTTATATCAACCAGACCTGACTAAATAGAAGTAGATTACTACGATGATCTACCTGTAACTCAATAAAAAATAAACAAAATAAAAATAAAAAAATTATCGGCTATGACAAACAATATCAAAGTGGACATGCCCAAACCTTTCGGTAATCACCATCAGCTAAATTTTCAAGTAACTTCGGACCAGTTGAAAAGAACCCTCCTCCAAGTGGACTGTACACCACAATCCCTATCCCAAGTTCTCTGAAAGAGAATCCCAAATAATATAAAAATTGTAAAACCATATTTCTTTGCACAAGCATACATGTCATGAGCAGAATAAATATCAGACCTGCAAGTCGGAATGATTTCGTCTTCTACATCTCTGGACCACAAGGACCATTCTAACTGTACAGCTGTTATTGGATGAACAGCATGCGCTCGTCTAATTGTAGAAGTGGAGGCCTCTGATAGACCAATATACTTTATTTTACCCTCTTCAACTAGCTTTTTAAGTTCCCCTATCTGGGCAAAAAGTGGAATTCAAGGAAAAGAGCATGCCAGTTACTTAATGAACATAATGCCAAGGGAGACTAAATGAATGTTGAAATTGATAATTAAAGTGGGATTTCAGAGTAAATCCCATTGGCACAACAGTTCACAAGGATATATTTCATGGAAAGCATACCCAACAAAGAAAGAGCCAATTATCTAAATTGCTTCTAAAATATACTATTTTCAATCCCATCAGCTCAGATGTAACAAACATGTGACAAAAGTGCAGTGTTCCTCGAGTCACACAAAAATATCTCTGAATGAAATCATACCGTTAATGATTATAAATTGACTTTTTTCAAATTTATCAATATGTAGGAGGAATTTGCTTCTAGACTTTGAAATGAACTCCACGGGCATCCTTCCTCACTACATTTTCTTTAGTCTTAGGTGAAACAATCATGGACTAAACGCACTGTGTCCTTTCACAGCTTGAACAATAACAACACTCATCAGGAAGCAGAGCTAACTGTGATTTCAATGGGCAGGCGTGTGTCTATGCGATGCTGATAGTAAAGGTCAATGCAGTCAACCCCAAGCCGCTTCAAGCTGCCCTCACATGCAGCCCGCACATACTCTGGATCACTACAGATCTCAGCTTTGCCGTCAACAAGTTTGACCCCAAATTTAGTTGCCACTTCCACTTTCTCTCTTATTCCTCCCTTCAAAGCCTATTCAAACTTGATCATTAATAGACATTATCTTAATACAAAAAGACAATTTGGAAGCCCAAATCTATACCAACATACGCAAAAGGAATTGTAGAATCATTTCTTGCACAGAATTGTCTAGTTTCTACAAACAATTGAGTAGTCTAATTAATCAGAAAAATAAGTACCATACGCTATTAACCAGAACAGTAAGAAAAAATATCCATAAAAGACTTATTCAAACGAAAACATCATACAAGAATGTGCTATGCAGTATGCAGATGTGAGTTTGTGTAATTAACAAGGTGTTGAACATCAAACAGCGATGATTTACCTTTTGGTTCTCATTTTTTGGTATAAAATGCAATGAGTCCAGAAAAGCATGTAGGCCAAATTCTAACCAAACAAAGAAGTGAAAGAATAATACATCATGGCCGCATTCCATGACGGTTTTATGAACTCGGGTACATCTATAGGACTAGTAATTCATTCAATGAGAAATCTTTTCTAAGTATAATTTCTTTGAACAGATTACGGTTACATCATACATTTAGCCAAGGATCATAATCCATGTCCTTTTACAAACTTTCTGAATTGGAACAGTTTTGAACTATTTACTTTAACATGCCGTTCTAATTCTAACCTCATTATACCAGTGGCTCCTTCTGCCATGCGTTATAACAGAACAAGGAAAAAGAAAATTCCAATTAAAGTGCGATTTAAAATAAAACTGAAAGAGAAACTCTATATCACAAAAAAATAAATGCATTATTCAAAAAAGATTCACGCTTGAGTATCTTTTCAGTAACTACATCAAATTGATCAAATTAATACAGAGGAAAAACGAACTACTGACATAAAAGCAAATTGTTCACCCAATCCATTCAAATTCAGAAGTTGAATATAAATCATCAGTATAAAAATTACCTTGCCGAGGAGAATCTCGTTGGCGTAAGGTCCGTACATCTCGGCAGTGTCGAAATGGGTGATGCCTCTGTCAATGGCGTAATGGATGAGCTCGATCATTTCGGGTTCGGGTTTGGGCGGGCCGTACACGCCTGACATACCCATGCAGTCCAGCCCTTGAGCCGAAACTTCGAGCCCTTGTGAGCCCAGCTTGATTCTTGGCACTTTGAATTCATCATCTTCAGTCGCCATTTTTCGATTCAAACCAAAGAACACACGCGCAATTGCAGAGTCAAAATCGAGTGGGGAGATCCGGAGAGGTTGTAAAAGATTTTTTTAGCTTGTATTTTGGATTGACGCCTTTATTGATTAACTTAATTCTTTTATCCGTGTTTTTAATGTATTAAAATTTTTTTTTAGAGAAAATTTAATGTATTTAAAGTTTAGACAATTTTGAAAAATTATATGGCATGAGTACTTTTTTTTTTTTTTTTGTATTGTTACCAATTATTCTTTTGCGTAGGAGATTCGTCGAGGTCCTGGGTAAGAGAGTATAAAGTATAAATAAGAAAACATGGAAAGAGAATATAAAAAATAATTTAAAATATTTAAATTTGATAGAAAATTTATGAAATAACTAAACACAATGACGACATGATCCATATAATCAATCCATCAAAAAATCATGTTATTATTGTAATTCTATTTTGTGAATCTCCATGAAAAAAAAAGTTTCGATATCTAAAAATGTTCATTAGGCTTATATACCCATTCATATGAAGCCTTTTTCCCTTTTGTCTTTTTAAAAGGAAATAAATACATTCGTTTTTACAGGCATTTTGATTTATTATTAATAATATTTTTAGAATATAAAATCATTAAGTGAAGTCATTGGTGTTAAGTTTCACTAATGTTGATTCTTCTAGAGTTTACAGGAAGTTGATGATGATTCACTAATTCAAAGCTTTTTATAAAAAAAAAAATTTTTAAAGCATAGAAAAGTAATGATTATTGTTTGTTTCATTTTTTTTAGTGTGTGTTTTTAGGTGTTTTTTATATCGGGAATATAAAAATTTATATTAAAAATATAAAAAAGTATACAGGAGTGGAACACTTAATAATAATTTAATTTGAAAATACCACCGAGAAAAATAAACAAACAAATTTTAAACTTTTTCTTGTCTTTTATATTTTGTGGTTACATATTCCATTTGTCCGTCAATTGGTGATTGATTTGGACTCATTTACTAGTGATTTGATTGAATTTGACGTGTTATTCTAATACAGAAGGACAACAAAAATCACCAAAACATAAAATGCTGGGGATAAAAAAGAATTGTTGTAAATGTAGAGAATAAATGGAGCACGTTTCTCTTTTATAAAAGGGCCTTTTTATCATTGGGCTTCTCTCGCTTATGTGTCCAACCTGGTACTACCCAGTTCGAACTTTTTATTACGTGCTTCAGCCTTCAGCGGTGACGTAAGATCACCTTTTCTATATATACACAAAGCCCGGTTTGCTCCTTTCTCAGTACTACTTCCCACCATCTTCAATCAGACTCTCCAACTGAAAAATTCAGCAGAAAAAAAGAGAAACAATCGGGGAAAATGGCGGCTCCGACGAAAGTAACGAGGGTCAAGTTGGGTTCTCAGGGTTTGGAAGTTTCCAAACAGGGATTAGGATGCATGGGGATGTCCTCCTATTACGGCTCAGCTAAGCCGGAGCCGGAGATGATCCAGCTCATCCACCACGCCATTAACTCCGGCGTCACCTTCCTTGATACCTCCGATGTCTATGGGCCACACACCAATGAGCTCCTGATCGGAAAGGTATTTTCTCTGGCTTCACATCCTTTTCAATTTTTATTTTTATTTTTTAAAATTTTTCCTTTGTTGTTTTATGCTATTTATGATCGTTTTGATTCTGGTGTGTTAATTGATTCGTTTCATAAGTGGTTTCTGGAAATTGTTGAAGGAAAGCATTTTTAGAGGGACTTGCATAGAATGTTTTACTTTTAATTGCCGAAATTGAACTAACACAAGTAATTTTTCAGCCCCTTTAGAATAGAATTAGAGCGATTGAGGTTCTAATTCTGTTTATCTTTTTGAGTGCCAGTAAATCAAGTTTGAAATGTTATAGTTTCCTCTTCGTATTTTCTATTCTTATGCCTGTTAAATGGAAAATCAGGAGTACAATGTTTTCAAATGATATTTTTTTCCACCTTCATAGTTGCAGACTTGTAGTGCTTATTTTAAGTTTGTGAGTTCTGTGTAAAAAGAAAAAAATCAGTACTGTTTCACTCTCCATTCTATGTGTTCCAACCTACATAATCGTGTTCCAACCTGCAAAATAGAAACTGATTAAATCAAGCAAATGTTCAGATGTAATGTGTTGCAGGTATTGTCCTCGCAAAAAAAGGGGTTCAAATAGCTTTGAAATGTTTTTCTTATCACCTTCAAACTGAATTTGATATGAAACTTGATCATATGTCTCTTGGGAATGCATAATTACAGTGAATAAGAAAGTGTCTGAAATTGATGACGTGTTTACATTGGGCCAATTGTGTTCAGAATATATGTTGTAAGGAACATAATATTGTTTCTGTTCTTTTTGCTTGTGTTGATTAACTGAATGGCTCTAGGCTTTACAAGGAGGCTGGAGAGAAAAGGTTCAGATTGCTTCTAAGTTTGGAATTAGTTTTCCGGATGGGAAAATGACTATCCGTGGTGACCCTGAGTATGTGCGTGCTTGTTGTGAGGCCAGTCTCAAACGGCTTGGTGTTGATTACATTGATCTTTACTACATCCATCGCATAGATACTCGTACCCCTATTGAAGTCACGGTTAGTCGTTCGTTGTATTTTTATAACCTATTATTAAACTTGGATCTTTTGAAATGACAAGCACATGAAAAGTGTTGATACAATCAATATACCTTTTGATACTTGAAAGAATGATAGTTCAATGTTTTGTAAGTTATGGAACTTTGGTAGTTTGACCTGGTACATAGTAAAGTTGTTTGTTCTTTTTTTTCTTTTTCCTTCTTTTGTAAATTATTATTTTCTTCCCTTGTTTGGAGTGAGATTTAGGGGGATTTGGTGCATATTTGTTAGGTTTAGTTAGTGTGAATAATTTGTACATCTGTGGCGCCGTTTCAGTCAAGTTTTTCTGCATGTGAAGGAAGTACAGATAACCACATTCATTTTTGACTTTTCTTTTAACATTCTCCTGTTTAATTCTTTTACCAGATTGGAGAAATGAAGAAGTTGGTTGAAGAAGGTAAAGTAAAGTATATTGGTCTATCCGAAGCCAATGCTTCAACAATTAGGAGGGCACATGCAGTTCATCCAATTACTGCTGTACAGAATGAGTGGTCCTTGTGGTCTAGGGATTTGGAGGATGAAATTGTTCCAACTTGCAGGTCAATATTATTCTTTGCGTCCTTTGGTTATTTAGCAAATCTAACACACCTATTCTCACCATTGATTCTGTTATCAGGGAGCTTGGTATTGGGATTGTTCCTTACAGCCCTCTAGGCAGGGGATTCTTTTCAACAGGGCCTAAAGTGATGGAGAACTTGTCAGAGAATGATGCTCGTAAGGTTGGTAAACTCTATCCATCTAACAATGTTTATACATTACTTCTTTGTTTTTTTGTCAAGCTTAACTAGTAAATTTCTATTTGAAGTACACAACTTGATACATCACTCGATTATGCAGCAATATAGCTACAAAAAAAATCTTACATGTATCCTATATATAAACTTCATTTCTCCAAACCAACTCATCCTCCAAATGCTCCCTAATGTTTCCATCTTACCTGTTTAGTGATTGCCTACATGATTAACAGGAGCGTTTGCCTGTTGTTTTATATGTCACTTGCTATCTAAGCTACTTGCACTTGCAGTGCCTTAGGCCCAAATATTTTAGTAGTTTGATTGAACTTTTTTTGGCCATAAGTTCTTGGGTTACATTTGTCAAATTTACTAGGTAAGTAATAATGTGTGCTAAGCATATTATACTTCTTGGATGTTGTGGTTCTGCTCCTTGGGGCTGTCTGACAAAGAACCTGGGTTGTTGTTTGATCCTTTAAAGTTAAACCTTCTTTCCACTGATGACTGTTTCCTTAAACTTTTACATCTCTTGCATTGTTGAGGATCCGAAATTTAACTGCTAGCCTTCTGCAAGTTTATGTGTCTGATTGTTATCAAATGATGTACATGGTATGGTAATTGGTAAATCACTTTGGCTAGATCCATGCTTATCTCTATGAAATTATGTAATCTTCTTATGTTGATGTCTCTCATGAATGCTAGCTTCATTTTATGATTTGTTCATGTATTGATAGTGTATTTTTTTGTTGCAGACCTTCCCAAGATTGAAACCCGAAAATCTTGAGCATAACAAACAAGTATACGAACGCGTTTCAGCAATGGCAGCAAGGAAAGGATGTACCACTGCACAGCTTGCGTTGGCTTGGGTTCATCACCAAGGAGATGATGTGGTTCCCATCCCTGGTACCACCAAGATTGAGAATTTCAATCAGAATCTTGGGGCCTTATCTGTTAAATTGACACCGGAGGAGATGGCTGAACTCGAGTCCTACGCCTCCCTTGATGTGGTTAAGGGTGAGAGACATGCCTTAATGAATATGACATGGATCAACTCTGACACTCCACCTCTGTCTTCCTGGAAAGCTTCATAATTAAGTTCTTAGAAAGTTTTGCTTGATGCAATGAAGATTGTTGAAAAATGCATATCAAAAAGTTACTTGTTGGCAATTGCTACTTGAGTTTTAATAAAGCCAACAATGTTGCTACGAATTTGGATGTGGTTAATAAACTAATTAGTTGGGTTTCTGTGAATCCATTTTTTGGATTTTCAAATTTTACTGTAAATTTGTAAAATGTTTACTGCATTATATATGTTCCAGTCCTCTTAGTTATGAATTGAACGAATTGTAGATATCCTAAAACATACACATCTTATATAGACACAAATACTCCAGATAGCTTCCAGAATTACTAACTAATTTAGCAGGATTATAAGAAGTGAACATCACAATTTGCTTCATTAACTGCCATAACTAAGTTATAATTAGGCATAAAAAAACGTACATTGATAAGGCACAGCATGTGTCTACGAGGGAAACTGGAGAAACAACTCAAGAAACAGGGCTTGAGAGGAACTCCTTGCAAGCTTTTGTTTGGATAGATCAAGGAGATTCTCAAGATGGATGTAGAAGCAAAGAAAAAAACCCATTAATTTTACAGACTATAATTCCCAGAGTCAAGCCCTTCATCCATAAAGCCATCAACAAGAATGGTATGCGTTTTTCATTTCCCCTGTTTTTCACCAGTTCTTGAACATTTTTGAAACTCCGTTTCTAGGGGCTAATGTAGCCGGAGATGATCCCCGGAATAGGGCTTCCGGCAAATCGGTAAGTGGATTTTAGTTGACATATGATGGAACCGAATGAATTGAACTTGTAGGTAAAATTAGCTACATATGGACTGGACCAAGACCATCGTTGCCTGATCTTGTAAAGGAAGTCCTGAACGAAG